TTACTATTTGCTTGTGTTGAGTAAGGCCAGAGGGTAGTAGAAGTTACTATGGGCTACTATGAGCTTACTACCAGCAAAGCAAACAGATACTGAATACCATCAGTTATTCCAAATGACAACTAACGAAGCAACATGAGTACTAATGATTAATTATATTGTGGAGACATCAATCCCCACATTCAATTTGGAGGTGCCACCGTTGTAATGAGGTGCCATCAGTTCAAGGCCAGGTTGGAGCCACCTGGTCTAGTGGAAGGTGTCCCTGCCGTGGCAGGGGTGGCACTGGGGGTGGCACTGGGTGGTCACTGAGGTTGTTTCCATCCCAAACCATTCCATGGTTCTGTGATGCTGCCCCTCTCCCCCATCCCGAGGCCACCGTGTCCAGCACATGGAACCGCCCCTCTGTGACATCAGCCCCGGCCTGGGGGCACCGTGAGGACCCCTCGCTCCTGGCACTGCCCCGTGCGCTGCCACCGATGGCTTGGCTGTGGCTCCTGGTCCTGCTGGCCCTGGCCGGGCCCGTGGGTGGCACCTGGGACACCTGCGAGTCAGTGATCCTGGGATGTGGGGGGAGCTCGGGAACACTCGGGGGGTTCCCAGCACAACGGGGGCACAGACGTGCCCTGGGGGGGCCCTGGCCCTGCTGCCCCTCGGGGCACTGTGGGGGGACAACGGGGGCCCTTCATCCTGAGCAGCCCCTGAGCAGGGCAGGGATGGTTTGTGCTTGCAGAGGGACCTGCGGGCTCCGGCCCATGGCTTCCGACCACAACTCCCTGCTGCCCGACTACGAGCTCGCAGATGCCGCCTACGGAGCCCTGGGGTCTTCCCACGGCACCACACGGGGACTGGGGGGAGCCACTCTCCGTCCAGGGGCCTGGCCCGGCATCGTCAGCATCCAGGCCAGCTGGGAGAACGGCACGTGGCACATGTGTGCAGGGGCACTCATCCACCCCAAGTGGGTCCTCACGGTCGCCCACTGCTTCTTTGGGGCCGGGTAAGGAGCAGAAGGGACAGCGGTGTCCCCACAGCTCGGGCAGATGCCCAGTCTGTGAAGGGAAGTGCTGGGCTGTCCCAGCCCGTGGCTCTGCTCCCTCTCACCCCTCTCTCCTTTTGCCCCCCAGGGATGTCTCCAAATGGGAGGTGGTTCTTGGGGCCACCGATCTGACAGAGTTGGGACCTGAGGCCGAGTTGCACCGCATCCAGAGGCTCCTGGTGCACCAGCACTACGCCCCTGCCTTGGCAAGGAACAACATCGCCCTGCTGGAGCTGGACGAGCCTGTGGAGTGCAGCGACTACATCCAGCTGGGCTGTGTGCCCAACACCCCCCTGAGCACGTCACACCTGAAAACCTGCTACATCGCGGGCTGGAGAACCACCCTGGACAGTGGTGAGTTCCCAAACAGGACACAGGCCCTGAGCCTGAGCTTGGGCACACAGACTGAGCTTCCCAAGAGCAGAGAACAGAGCTGGCCCCCTGCCCAGAGCCAACAGCAGGGACACAGCGGGACGAGGCTGCTCCAAGGCTGCCCCCAGACAGCCCAGGGCAGGGGGCACCGAGCTCCGGGGGCTCATTGCCCTCTGTGCTGCAGCTCTCAGACCACGCCTGGTGCTGCAGGAGGCCAAGGTGCGGCTCATCGATGTGCAGCTGTGCAACAGCAGCCGGTGGTACGCGGGGGCCGTGCACCCCCACGACCTGTGCGCTGGGTACCCGCGGGGCGGCATCGACACCTGCCAGGTGGGAGCGTGGCACCAGCCCCTCAGCCCCGGCAGCACAGGGACCCCCTGCCCCAAACATGGCACGGGCTGGGCCTGGCCTGGCACCCTCCCAGCCCCAGGGCCCCACCCCTGACAGGGCTGTCCTGTCCCATGTCCCCTATCCCAGGGCTGTTCTATCCCATGTCCCCCATCCCAGAGCTGTCCTGTCCCATGTCCCATATCCCAGGGCTGTCCTGTCCCATGTCCCCCATCCCAGGGCTGTCCTGTCCCATGTCCCCCATCCCAGGGCTGTCCTGTCCCATGTCCCCCATCCCAGGGCTGTCCTGTCCCATGTCCCCCATCCCAGGGCTGTCCTGTCCCATGTCCCCCATCCCAGGGCTGTCCTGTCCCATGTCCTCCATCCCAGGGCTGTCCTGTCCCATGTCCCCCATCCCAGGGCTGTCCTGTCCCATGTCCCCTATGCCAAGGCTGCCCTCCCCTTCCCCATCCATGGGTCTCTGTCCCATGTCCCCCATCCCAGGGCTGTCCTGTCCCATGTCCCCTATCCCATGGCTGCCCTCCCCTTCACCAACTGTGAGTCCTGTGTCTCCCTGTCCCCACGGCCCGGCTCAGCCCACAAAGCCCATCCAGTTCTCCCGGCAGCCCTGAGCTGCTGATGTGACTCTGGAACATCCGTTCTCTGCACATCCATGGTCACTGTGCTGGGATGGGAGAGGGTGCAACCTTAACAAGCCCCTGACCTGCTGCCAAGGCTCTGGAGGCTCCAGCCTTCCCGTGCTGGGAATGAGGCTCTGGCAGGGGCTGGGAGAGAGGAGCCAGCCCTGCTGCTGCAGCAGCCCCCCACAAACCCTGAGCCCTCTCTCCTCCCACAGGGGGACAGTGGGGGTCCCCTCGTCTGCAAGGACCACAGAGCCGACTACTTCTGGTTGGTGGGAGTGACCAGCTGGGGAAAAGGCTGTGCTGGGGCCAAACGACCTGGGATCTTCACCTCCACCCAGCAATTCCACGACTGGATCCTGCTCCAGATGGGATTACTCCCAGTAGTAACAGCCACTCCAATGCCAGAGCCAACCACTGCCTCGACTCCTGAGCAGAATCCAGAGCCAGAGGCCAGCCCGACCCCTACAGAGACATTGATGCCAATGGAATCAGGAAATTTAACAGCCATTTCAATCCAACAGCAGATACTGGGGCAATTCTTTAACCTGCTCCTGGAGCTCCTGGAGTTCCTAAGGGGCAAAATGGAGTGGTCAGAAGGATGAGCAGATCCAGCGCTGGCTGCAGTGGACCGAGACCACGTGGGGCCACGACTATGGGGCCAAAGGCTGCCCCAGTGCCCAGGGCTGCTCTGTCCTGCCCACACTCCTCCCCTGAGCCCACCCCCATGGTGAAGTTGTTTGTTATCGAAATAAAGTTGTTTGTTAACAACATTAACCATGTTTTCATCCCAATTCAGTCTCCTGTGAAAGGTAAGGACGCCACAATCTGGTAAACAGAAGTGACGGTGGGAAAGTGAGCAGGATTGGCCCTGTTTTGGGAGGAGACAAGGGCGGAGACAGGAAGGAGTGGAGGGATGGGAATGGGGAAGTGGCTGAGCCCGGCAGGTGGAGAGAAGGGTTGTCAGCACCAGTCCCACACACAAAGTACTGGGTGGCTACTGCTGGCACCGAGCCCTGCACCCAAACCCCACGAGCTGCCAGAGAAACTCCTCCTGCCCAGGTTTCCCACAGCACAGCCTCGGGTGTCCCATTCCCGGGAAAAGCAGCTGAAAGCCGGAGTTGTGCAGCAACAGGAGCAGCTGGAGCGGGGAGTGCTGGAGCCACGAGGGCCGTGGGGGTGCTGGAGGATGCCCACCCTGAGCTGCTGCTGCCCACCCAGGCGTGTCCCCTCTGCACCAAGGTCCTGCCCCTGGGGCTGCCGGGACCCCCCATCCCACCCTCCGGCCCAGGGGGGATCTCTGGATCCGGGACGTGCCCTCTGCTCCTCCTGGATGGTGGCTCCAAGGGGCTGTGGTGGCTCTGGAGAAGATGCTGGAGCCTGGTCCCTCCTGGGACGCCTCAGGGCTCCTGTCAGAGGCTGAACCTCCCCCACGGAGCACAGGCCCTGCCCCGCACTCCCGGCAGGGTTGGGGGTCTCCCCGCCCCCCCATTTGCTGCCCCAGCACCCCGTCAGTCCAAGGGGTGCCCGAGCTGGGGCTGTGGGGCAGCTCTGAGGCTGAGCTGGGTTAGCTGGGCTGGGTGCTCTGGTGGGTTTGGGGTGTCAGTGTGTCCCTGTGCAGCCCTGGCTGAGGGAGAGCCTCGAGCAGGACCAGGCCCAGGCTCCAGAGAGGCATCACGGGAGCCCTGATCCTGCAGCCCAGGAACTCCATGGCATGAGCCAAGCGAGACACAAGGTCCCAGCCCATGGATCTCCCCAGTCCCAGCTGGTTCTGCTCCTCAGGCACACGGCTCCAGCCCCACAGCAGCCTCCCTGCCCAAGGGCAGCTGAGCCAGCCCTCAGGACTCACCTTCCCTGTCCCCAACAGCACCGGGCTCCGGTCCCAGCCATCCAGGGCCTGTGTGGGATGTGGCCAATCCATTCATCCATTCCCACTCCCAATCCTGGGGAGAGTCTTTAACCAGCTGCAGGAGCCCCTGTAGTGCCTGAGGGGTGAAATGGCTTGAGCAGCAGGATGAGCAGCTCTGGCCTGCAGTGGCCCATGGCCATTTCCCAGCTGGAATTATGTAATGGTTATGACAGCTCGTAATATACCTATATTTACTTTATTCTTAAAAAATGCACACTTGCATTCCCAGTGCTAATTTTGTAGTGGTTTCTAGTAGATGGAAAGTGATATAATACTGCTCTGTTCTATTCTAATTGCATTATTTTATATTATTTTAGCATATATTCTTTTCATAGATTTTATCATATCAGGCTCTGTCTGATCATGTCTCTTGACTAATCTGTGTATAATACATAATCTGTATATAGTACATAAGCTGCATATAGAATTGTATGTTATAATAAAAATATATATATAATATATATTATATATATACAATAAAAATATAATATGTAATTGTAATATACAAAAATGTAAATGTATATGATATTGTGATGTTTATATTATGTATAACACATGTTGCACCACCACCTACCTGACTCCTCTCTGGAGGCCACCGTGCCCAGCACACGGAACCAGCCCCTCTGTGACATCAGCCCCTGCCTGGGGACACCATGAGAGCCGTGGGGGCTGCACCAGAGGCCACACTGGAGGTGACCCCTCGCTCCTGGCACTGCCCCGTGCGCTGCCACCGATGGCTTGGCTGTGGCTCCTGGTCCTGCTGGCCCTGGCCGGGCCCGTGGGTGGCACCTGGGACACCTGCGGGTCAGTGGCCCCATTTAGGGGTGTGGGGGGAGCTCGGGAACACTCGGGGGGTTCCCAGCACAGCGGGGGCACAGACGTGCCCTGGGGGGGCCCTGGCCCTGCTGCCCCTCAGGGCACTGTGGGGGGGACAACGGGGGACCTTCATCCTGAGCAGCCCCTGAGCAGGGCAGGGATGGTTTGTGCTTGCAGAGGGACCTGCGGGCTCCGGCCCATGGCTTCCGACCACAACTCCCTGCTGCCCGACTACGGCCCCGTAGATACAACCTTCAATTCCTCCGGCGGTGTCGTGCGTGGCAACGACGTCGCATCCGGGACCTGGCCCGGCATCGTCAGCATCCAGGCCACCTGGGCCAATGGCACGTGGCACATGTGTGTGGGGTCCCTCATCAACCCCAAGTGGGTCCTCACGGTTGCTCACTGCTTTGTCAGGGCCAGGTAAGGAGGGGCAGGGACAGGGACGTCCCCACAGCTCGGGCAGGTTCCCAATCTGTGAAGGGAAGTGCTGGGCTGTCCCAGCCCGTGGCTCTGCTCCCTCTCACCCCTCTCTCCTTTTGCCCCCCAGGGATTTCTCCAAATGGGAAGTGGTGATTGGGGCCACGGATCTCAAACATCCAGGCCCCGGGACGCAGGTGCGGCACATCCAGAGGCTCCTGGTGCACCAGCACTACGTGCCTGCCACGGCAAAGAACAACATCGCCCTGCTGGAGCTGGACCGACCTCTGGAGTGCAGCGACTACATCCAGCTGGGCTGTGTGCCCGATGCCTCACTGGTAGTGCCAGACCTGAAAACCTGCTACATCGCGGGCTGGGGTCCCACCACCACCAAAGGTGAGTTCCCAAACAGGACACAGGCCCTGAGGTTGAGCATCCTGGGCACACAGGCTGGGCTTTGGCCAAAGCCAGGGTCAGGCTGCAGGACGTGAGCCCCGGCAGAGGGGCCTGGCCCCCTGCCCAGAGCCAACAGCAGGGACACAGCGGGACGAGGCTGCTCCAAGGCTGCCCCCAGACAGCCCAGGGCAGGGGGCACCGAGCTCCGGGGGCTCATTGCCCTCTGTGCTGCAGCTCTCAGACCACGCCTGGTGCTGCAGGAGGCCAAGGTGCGGCTCATCGATGTGCAGCTGTGCAACAGCAGCCGGTGGTACGCGGGGGCCGTGCACCCCCACGACCTGTGCGCTGGGTACCCGCGGGGCGGCATCGACACCTGCCAGGTGGGAGCGTGGCACCAGCCCCTCAGCCCCGGCAGCACAGGGACCCCCTGCCCCAAACATGGCACGGGCTGGGCCTGGCCTGGCACCCTCCCTGCCCCAGGGCCCCACCCCTGACAGGGCTGCCCTGTCCTGCCAGCATCCACCAACATTGTCCCATGTCCCCTATCCCAGGGCTGCCCTGTCTCATATCCCCTATCCCAGCACTGCCCTCCCCTTCTCCATCCATGGGTCCCTGTCCCATATCCCAGGGCTGCCCTCCCCTTCCCCTTCCTTGTCTTCTAGTCCAGTATCTCCCTGTCTATAAGGCCTGGGGACAAAGCCCATGCAGTGCTCCCAGTGCAGATGTGACCCTGGAAGAGCCTTAGTGTGCCAATAGCCCCCCACAAACCCTGAGCCCTCTCTCCTGCCGCAGGGGGACAGTGGGGGTCCCCTCGTCTGCAAGGACAACAAAGCCGACTACTTCTGGCTGGTGGGAATGACCAGCTGGGGAAAAGGCTGTGCTGGGGCCAAACGACCCGGGATCTTCACCTCCATTCAACACTACCACGACTGGATCCTGCTCCAGATGGGATTGCTCCCACCAGTTACAGCCACTTCAACCCTACGGCCGGACACCACCCTGTCCACCATCCAGGTGCCAACAGTCCCGGACTCGGACACGTTTACGGTCATTACATTCCCCAAACGGACCCTGCGGGAACTCCTTGAGAAGCTGGAGGAGCTCCTGGAGTTCCTAACAGACAATATGGATTAATCAGAAGAACGAGCAGATCCAGCTCTGGCTGCAGGGGACCAAGACCATTCCCTGTTGAGGCCATGACTGCTGGGCCAAAGGCAGCCCCAGTGCCCAGGGCTGCTCTGTCCTGCCCTCGCTCCTCCCCAGAGCCCACCCCGATGGTGAGGTTCAGTGTCTTATTGAAATAAAGTTGTTTGTGTTCCCCATTAACTGTGTTTTCAGCCCAGGCAAGGTAAGTGTCGTGGTTTGATCCGGCCACTGCCTCTCTGGGCAGTCTCTGCCCCCCGCATTCTCCACCAAAAATGTCGTGGTTTTGCCCTGGGTCAATTTGCTGTCACCTCCCACACAATTACTGTAAGTTGAGGGAAGGTTTATGCAGACAAAAGAGAGCTGATTGGGGAAAATAATATTAACATTTATTACTATCAAGATAAAAAACTAAAGAACTATATCTACAACAATTCTACAGAACAATATGGGAGGCAAGAGGGAAAAATGAGTGGAGTTGGTTTGGGAGGAGACAAGGGCAGAGACAGGGAGAAGTGGAGGGAGGGGATGGTATGGGAGGGGGTGGCTGAGCCTGGCAGGTGGAGAGAAGGGGCATCAGCACCAGTCCCACACACAAACTGCTGGGTGGCTGCTGCTGGCACTGAGCCCTGCACCCAAATCCCATGGGTTGCCAGAGAAACTCCTCTGGCCCAGGTTTCCCACAGCACAGCCTCGGGTGTCCCATTCCCGGGAAAAGCAACTGAAAGCCGGGGCGGTGCAGCAACAGGAGCAGCTGGAGCAGGGAGTGCTGGAGCAACGAGGGCCGTGGGGGTGCTGGAGGATGCCCACCCTGAGCTGCTGCTGCCCACCCAGGCGTGTCCCCTCTGCCCCTGGGGCTGCCAGGACCCCCCATCCCATCTGCTCCCACGGTGCCCTCGGCCCTGGCAGTGCTGGAGCTGCAGCCCCAGGTCTGCTCCCACCCAGGGGCACTGCCAGGCTCCAGCCCAGGGGGAGCTCTGGATCCATGATGTGCCCTCTGCTCCTCCTGGATCTTTAAAGTCTCTTCCAACAAAACATTCCATGATTTTATAACTCAGTGCTCCCCCATCCCAAGGCCACCATGCCCAGCACATGGAACCAACCCCTCTGTGACATCAGCCCTGGGCCAGGGGCACTGTGAGTGCTGTGGGCACAACGCTGGAGGTGACCCCTCGCTCCTGGCACTGCCCCGTGCGCTGCCACCGATGGCTTGGCTGTGGCTCCTGGTCCTGCTGGCCCTGGCCGGGCCCGTGGGTGGCACCTGGGACACCTGCGGGTCAGTGGCCCCATTTAGGGGTGTGGGGGGAGCTCGGGAACACTCGGGGGGTTCCCAGCACAGCGGGGGCACAGACGTGCCCTGGGGGGGCCCTGGCCCTGCTGCCCCTCGGGGCACTGTGGGGGGGACAACGGGGGCCCTTCATCCTGAGCAGCCCCTGAGCAGGGCAGGGATGGTTTGTGCTTGCAGAGGGACCTGCGGGCTCCGGCCCATGACTTCCGACCAAAGCTCCCTTCCTCCCGTCTACGGATCCCTGGAATCTTCCAATGGCACAGCACCTGGCACCAGTGTCCAGCCGGGGGCCTGGCCCGGCATCGCCAGCATCCAGGCCACCAGGCAGAACGGCACGTGGCACATGTGTGCAGGGGCCCTCATCCACCCCAAGTGGGTCCTCACAGTTGCCCGTTGCTTCTTCAGGGCCGGGTAAGAAGCAGCAGGGACAGGGGTGTCCCCACAGCTCGGGCAGGTGCCCAGGTCACAGCACCACGTGCTGGTCCCTCTCTGCTCTGCTTCATTGTTGGCCTTGAGAAGCAGAGGGCTGGGAACTGCTGGGCTGCTGCAGCCCATGGCTTTGCTCCCTGCCAACCCTCTCTCAATCTGCCTGCCAGGAACGTCATCAAGTGGAACGTGGTGATTGGGGCCACCAATCTGTCTCAGCTGGGCCCCCAGGCCGTGGTGATCGAAATCAAGAGGATCCTGATTCACCAGCGCTACGTGGCTGGCTCTGAGAGGAACAACATCGCCCTGCTGGAGCTGGAGCAGCCTGTGGAGTGCAGCGACTACATCCAGCTGGGCTGTGTGCCCAAGGCCTCGCTGAAAGTGTCAGACCTGAAAATCTGCTACATCGCGGGCTGGGGTCCCACTGTGGAGAGTGGTGAGTTCCCAGACAGGGTGTCGGCAATGAAGGAAAGATGGGTACCCCGGGGGAAAACCCAGGCTGGGCATCCCAGGGACACAGACTGGGCTTCCCAAGAGCAGAGAACAGAGCCAGGGTCAGGCTGCAGGACGTGAGCCCCGGCAGAGGGGCCTGGCCCCCTGCCCAGAGCCAACAGCAGGGACACAGCGGGACGAGGCTGCTCCAAGGCTGCCCCCAGACAGCCCAGGGCAGGGGGCACCGAGCTCCGGGGGCTCATTGCCCTCTGTGCTGCAGCTCTCAGACCACGCCTGGTGCTGCAGGAGGCCAAGGTGCGGCTCATCGATGTGCAGCTGTGCAACAGCAGCCGGTGGTACGCGGGGGCCGTGCACCCCCACGACCTGTGCGCTGGGTACCCGCGGGGCGGCATCGACACCTGCCAGGTGGGAGCGTGGCACCAGCCCCTCAGCCCCGGCAGCACAGGGACCCCCTGCCCCAAACATGGCACGGGCTGGGCCTGGCCTGGCACTCTCCCAGCCCCAGGGCCCCACTGACAGGGCTGTCCTGTCCCATGTCCCCATATCCCAGGGCTGCCCTGTCCCATGTCCCCCATCCCAGGGCTGTCCTGTCCCGTGTCCCCTATTCCAGGGCTGTCCTGTCCCATGTCCCCTATCCCAGGGTTGTCCTGTCCCATGTCCCCTATCCCAGGGCTGTTCTATCCCATGTCCCCCATCCCAGGGCTGTCCTGTCCCATGTCCCGTATCCCAGGGCTGTCCTGTCCCTTATCCTGGGGCTGCCCTCCCCTTCCCCATCCATGGGTCCCTGCCCTGTGTCCCCTTGTTCCCACGGCCTGGCTCAGCCCACAAAGCCCATCCAGTGCTCCCGGCAGCCCTGAGCTGCTGATGTGACGCTGGAACATCCGTTCTCTGCACATCCATGGTCACTGTGCTGGGATGGGAGAGGGTGCAACCTTAACAAGTCCCTGACCTGCTGCCAAGGCTCTGGAGGCTCCAGCCTTGCTGTGCTGGGAATGCGGCTCTGGCAGGGGCTGGGAGAGAGGAGCCAGCCCTGCTGCTGCAGCAGCCCCCCACAAACCCTGAGCCCTCTCTCCTCCCACAGGGGGACAGTGGGGGTCCCCTCGTCTGCAAGGATAACAGAGCCGACCACTTCTGGCTGGTGGGAGTGACCAGCTGGGGAAAAGGCTGTGCTGGGGATCAAAGACCCGGGATCTTCACCTCCACCCAGCAATTCCATGACTGGATCCTGCTGCAGACAGGCCTGAGCCCAGCAGAACCTGCTGCTCCAATGACAGAGCCAAAGTCCTCCTCAACCTCCACTCCAGCAATGGAATTGCGCAGGTCTGCCGGCATTTCATTAGCAAAACAGACCGTGAGGGAATTCCTGGAGAAGCTGGAGGAGCTCCTGGTGTTACTGAGGGACAAAACAACTTGACCAGAAGGGTGAGCAGGTCCAGTGCTGGCTGCAGTGGATTACAACCATCCCCTGTTGGGACCACGAGGCAGCCCCAGTGCCCAGGACTGCTCTGTCCTGCCCAAACTCCTCCCCTGAGCCCGCTGTGGTGCTCAGGTCGATTTAATCCTTGAAATAAAGTAGTTTGTGTTCCCCAGTGTTGTGGTTTGGGAATGGTGTTCTCCAGTTTAGCAGCCCCTGCTGCCACTCGCTCCCCATCACCATCCAACTGGGAGCATAAAAGGCAAAGATTATGGGGTTGAGATTAGAACAATTTACTGGAAACTGCAATGGGATAAGGAAATGAACAGTATCAGCAACAACAGTAATAACGAAAGGTATGAGACAAAGAAATGATTTACACGGAAAGCCCACAAAAACAAATACCGAGCTGCTGTTCCCCACCCTGTTTTCTCTCTCCTGGTCAAAACTATAGTACCTGTTACCCATGTTTTCAACCCAATTCAGTCTCCTGTGTATGGTAAGGATGACAAATCGGGGAGGCAGGAGGGAAAATGAGCAGGATTGGCCCCTATTTGGGAGGAGACAAAGGTGGAGACAGGGAGGAGTGGAGGGAGGGGATGGGAAGGGAGGGGTGGCTGAGCCCAGCAGGTGGAGAGAAGGGTCATCAGCACCAGTCCCACACACAAACTGCTGGGTGGCTGCTGCTGGCACCGAGCCCTGCACCCAAACCATACGGGTTGTCAGAGAAACTCCTCCGGCCCAGGTTTCCCAGAGCAGAGCTTTTCCTGGGAAAAGCAGCTGAAAGCCGGAGTTGTGCAGCAACAGGAGCAGCTGGAGTGGGGAGTGCTGGAGCCACGAGGGCCGTGGGGGTGCTGGAGGATGCCCACCCTGAGCTGCTGCTGCCCACCCAGGCGTGTCCCCTCTGCACCAAGGTCCTGCCCCTGGGGCTGCCGGGACCCCCCATCCCACCCTCCGGCCCAGGGGGGATCTCTGGATCCGGGACGTGCCCTCTGCTCCTCCTGGATGGTGGCTCCAAGGGGCTGTGGTGGCTCTGGAGAAGATGCTGGAGCCTGGTCCCTCCCGGGACGCCTCAGGGCTCCTGTCAGAGGCTGAACATCCCCCATGGAGCACAGGCCCTGCCCCGCACTCCCGGCAGGGTTGGGGGTCTCCCCGCCCCCCCATTTGCTGCCCCAGCACCCCGTCAGTCCAAGGGGTGCCCGAGCTGGGGCTGTGGGGCAGCTCTGAGGCTGAGCTGGGTTAGTTGGGCTGGGGGCTCTGGTGGGTTTGGGGTGTCAGTGTGGCGCAGCCCCGGGCTGGGAGCAGCGGCAGCAGGAGGGTTTGGGGGTGCAGTTGGGTGCACAGCAGGGCTGCAGGGCGGGATCCTGGCCCTTCCTGATCTGGCTCTCCCCAAACTCCATGCGCTGCTCCAGAAGGACTTTCTGCAGGGTGATCTCCCTCAGGACCTGCAGCACCTCGGGCCCTGCCCCGCCCTGGAGCAGGTCGTAGTTCTCGGCGGGGTCCGACTCCAGGTCGAAGAGCAGCGGGGGCAGGTGCGGGGTCAGCGGGGTCAGCCCGTGGCAGGCCTGGTCTGGGGTCGTGTCGCTGTGAAAGGAACCTGCAAAACACACCCCTGGGTGGGCCCAGGTCCTCCCCTGGAGCTTTGGGCAGCGAGAGCAGCCGGCCCTTCCCAAAGCTGGTGAGGGGCAGCACTGACCTTGGGTGAAGTAGTGGGCCTTGTACTTCCCGAAGCGGACGGCGAAGGGGCCGTGCAGGGGGTCGGGGGCCGCAGGGTAGAAGAACATGGTCTGTCGGGGACTCTGGGGAGGCAGCAGAGCTCAGCTCACCTGTGCAGCTGGAGGAGAGCCTGGAAGAGCACCAGACACTCCAGAGATTCCCACAGCAGCCCTGGTCCCACAGCCAGAATGGGGCTGGAGAGTGGGGCAGGGGATGAACAGCAGCATCCTGTTGGCTCCCTGCTCACAGCTACTGCCAGCCTGGGGACACCCAGCAACTCCATGGGGCAAAAGGTCCCAGCCCATGGATCTCCCCAATCCCAGCTGGTTCTGCTCCTCAGGCACACGGCTCCAGCCCCACAGCAGCCTCCCTGCCCAAGGCCAGCCGAGCCAGCCCCCAGGACTCACCTTCCCTGTCCCAAACAGCACCGGGCTCATGTCATAGCCATCCAGGGCCACTCTGGGAAGGGCTGCTCCAGCCAGGGCAGCCAGTGTTGGCAGGATGTCCAGGGTGCTTGCCAGCTCGTGCGTCACTCCTGGCACGAGGAGAAGTTCAAGCCCCTGATCCCACTCCCATCCCGGCCATCCCCACTTCCATCCCACCTGGGATGGCTGCGGTGCCTGGGCTGGCACAGGCAGTGCCAAGGCTCACCTGGGGCGATCCGGCCTGGCCAATAAGCCACTGCTGGTTCCCTCATGCCACCTTCGTAGGTTGTGCCCTTGCCACACTTCAGGTGGCCAGAGCTGCCTCCACGTGCCATCCGCATGGTGGAGGGGCTGGGGGACAAGAACCACCTGCCATCAGGGGCACAGGCTCCCACTGCCCCTCCTGGCCTGACCCCTGTGAGGTTTCTGGCCCAGTTGGGTCACAGGGACACAGAAGAGATCACGCACTGGGTACCTCCTGCCCCGCCTCACGTCCCTGGGGTCTCACCTGGCAATGCCACCCCACGACCCGGCCGCCGCCTCATCCCCCATCCCACGGCAGCAGAATCCTCCCAGCGGCAAAGCCCGCCCTGCTGAGCCCACTCACCCGTTGTCAGAGGTGAAGAACACCAGGGTGCTGTTCTCCAGGCCGTGCTCCTGCAGTGCCTGCACCAACTGTCCCACGGAGCCATCGAACTCCGCCAGCGCGTCCCCGAACGGCCCCCGCCGGGACCGCCCCGCGAACTCCTGGCTGGCAAACTGGGGGTAGTGGGTGTGCTGGGGAGAGGCAGAGAAGGTGGGAACCAACCCCCAGAGTCCCCAGCAGGAACAGGCAGCACCCCAGCGAGGACATGGGGAGAGGAGACAACACCCATGAGCTGAGAGGACACTTGTCCCCAAGCACCTCTTAGCAATGGCACAGAGCAGCTGAGCCCCCAGGACAGGACGTGGAGCCCCACAGTGGGAAGCTTTTCCTGGTGGATGGCCCAGAGAAGTGGGAAAAGCTCCAGAAAGAAGCAGCCCCAAAGCATTATCCCACAAGACTTGGCTCTGCGTGGGAAAGCAACCCCAGGTCACCCAGGTGCAGGTTCTAGGGCTGCAGGAGGGGAGGTGCTCCCCTGCTCTCTGCAGGGGACACCCTTCCCTTCCCTGCCCTTCCCCACCCCTCTCTTACATGGGAGGCGTAGTAGAGCAGGAAGGGGAGGCCCCTTCGGGCACAGTCAGCGATGAAATTGCGGGAGAATTTGTTGTAGAGCGGCACCAGGTCAGGGAAGGACACGGGCTGCTGGATGATGGTCTGGTTCCAGAGTAGAGGGAGCGGCACCACTCCCTGGTCACAGGTCCCAAAACACTTGATGTCGGGTGGGAAGCAGGTGAGGTTCTGACAGGGGCCCTGCAGAGGACACAGAACTTGGGATCTGAGCTGTCTTGCAGGACAGGCAGGGGAAGGAAGAGGAGCAAAGAGTCTCAGAGCGACCCACCACGATGAGCACCCTTTGAGCGGCCACTCCCAGAAGCCCAGAGGTTTTTTCCCACGCTAAAACTGTCCCAGATCTGTGCTGCCCCAACAGCATTTTCTCCCGGGGGCAACTGTGTCTTTGTAGCCCAGAAGCTGACCCACCCATCCCGTCCCACCACCAAGGACACACATCCCCACGCACCAGGGCTCACCGGTCCCCTCACCTGGTCGTGGGAGTAGGGCACCCCCAGGAAGTGGTCAAACCCCTGGTGGGTGGGTAGGAAGGAGCCGTTGGCCCCCACGCCCAGGTGCCACTTGCCCACCATGGCCGTGGCGTAGCCCTGAGCCTTCAGCACCTCGGCAATGGTGACCTCGGAGAGCGGGAGCCCCCCCCGCGAGCCCGGGTCGAACACGCCGGGATAGATCCCGGAGCGCACCTGGAAGCGGCCCGTCAGCAGCGCTGCCCTGCAGGGGAGGAGGCTCCTGTCAGCCGGGACTGCCAGAGCGTCAGGATTATCCGCTGCCCGCCCCTCCCGGCACGGACACTCCCGCTGGGGTCACAGAGACACGGGATATGCTGGCTGCGAAGGGACTCACAAGGATCACCCAGTCCAACTCCTGGCCCCGCACAGGCCCATCCCCAAGAGTCACACCCTGTGCTCGAGGTTCATCCCAACCCTCCTGGAGCTCTGGCAGCCTTGGGGCTGTGCCCACTGCCCTGGGGAGCCTGTTCAGTGCCAACCACCCTCTGGGGGAAGGACCTTGTGCTGAGATCCACTCTGAGCCTGCCCTGACACAGTTCCAGCCCTTCCCTGGGTGCTGTCCCTGGTCCCCCCAGAGCAGAGCTCAGTCCTGCCCCTCCTCTGCCCCTGCCCAGGCAGTTGGAACTGCAGTGAGGTCTCCCCTCAGTCTCCTCTCTTCCAGCTGAACACACCAAGTGCCCTCAGTGTCCTCACACGGCTTCAAATCAAGGCTCTTCCCCATCCTCCTTGCTCTCCTTTGGACACTCTCTAATGGCTCAATCTCTCCCTTCCATTGTGTCCCCCCAAACCGCCCCAGTACTGCAGGTGGGGCCGCCCCAGGTGAGAGCAGAGCGGGACGATCCCGGGCCGTACCGGGAGGGGCTGCAGACGGCGGCGCTGCTGTAGAAGTCGGTGAAGCGCAGCCCGCGGGCCGCCAGCCGGTCCAGCTGCGGCGTGGCCGAGGAAGGGTGCCCGTAGCTGCCCAGGTCCCCGAAGCCCAGGTCGTCCGCCAGCACCAGGACGAAGCTGGGCCGGGCGGCGGCCGCGGCGAGCGGGGACTGCGGGAGGAGCAGCGGCAGCAGCGGCAGCAGCGGCGGCAGCAGCGCCCACGGGCGGTCCCGGCCCCGCGGGGCCATGGCGGCTGCACTGGAGGGTGTCCCGGGGTGCCCGGGGGTGTCCCGGGGTGCCCGGGGGTGGCCGGGTGATATCCCGGTGATGCCCGGTGGGTTCCCGGTGCTGTCCCGGTGTCCCGGCGCTGTCCCGGCAGTGTCCCGGCAATGCCCCGGCGCTGTCCCGGAGGTGCCTGGTGGTGCCCGGCGCTGTCCCGGTGATGTCCCGGTAGTGCCCGGCGACGCCTCGGCGCTGTCCCGGCGGTGTCCCGGAGGTGCCTGGTGGTGCCTGGCGCTGTCCCGGTGATGCCCGGCGGTGTCCAGGCGGTGTTTAGTGGTGTTCGGCGGTGTCCGGTGGTGCCCGGCGGTGCCCGGTGCTGTCGGGGCGGTGTCCCAGCAGTGTCCCCGCGGCCCCGGGGCGGTCCCCGTGGATGTCCCAGCAGTGTCCCCGCGGCCCCGGGGCGGTCCGGTACCTCCCACCCGGCGTGGACAAGGGGAAATCACATGACCGATGCTCCGCGGGGATGCTGGGAATTGTAGTCCTACAAACGCTGCGGGAGTTGTGCAACACGTAGGAGTTGTACTACAGCTTGTACTTGTACTACAGCTTGTGCTTGTGCTTGTACAACTGCTGTAGTTCTGCTACAGCTGCTGGAGTCCCGAGAGGCCGGGGCGGTCACAGATGGGTCAGGCTGGGAGGGACCACAGGGGTCTGGTCCGACCTCTCCACTCGAGGGCACCGCGGGAGCAGGAGGGATGAAGGGTCCCGGCAGCCCCAGGGACAGGACCTTGGTGCAGAGGGGACACGCCTGGGTGGGCAGCAGCAGCTCAGGGTGGGCATCCTCCAGCACCCCCATGGCCCTCGTGGCTCCAGCACTCCCCGCTCCAGCTGCTCCTGTTGCTGCACCGCTCCGGTTTTCAGTTGCTTTTCCCAGGAAAAGCTCTGCTGTGGAAAACCTGGGCCGGAGGAATTCTTTTGGCAGCGTTTCTGTGGTGTTTGGGTGCAGGGCTCGGTGCCAGCAGCAGCCACCCAGCACTTTGTGTGTGGGACTGGTGTTGATGCCCCTTCTCTCCACCTGCCGGGCTCAGCCACCCCATCCCATCCCATCCCCTCCCCTCCCTCCACTCCTCCTGATCTCTGCCCTTGTCTCCTCCCAAAACAGGGGCCAACTCCACTTATTTTTTCCTCCTACCTCCCAGATTGTCCTGTCTTTACCTTTCACAGGAGACTGAATTGGGTTGAAAACATGGTTAATGGTGAACACAAACAACTTTATTTCAATAAGACACTGAACATCACCATCGGGGTGGGCTCAGGGGCAGAGCATGGGCAGGACAGAGCAGCCCTGGGCACTGGGGCTACTTTTTGCCCCACAGTCGTGGTCCCAACAGGGAATGGTCTTGGTCCCATCAGGGATTGGTTGTAGTCCACTGCAGCCAGAACTGGATCTGCTCCTCCAACTGTTCAAGTCTTTTTTTCCTTTAGGAACTGCAGGAGCTCCAGGAGCAGGTTAAAGAATTGCCCCAGGATCTGTTGCTGGATTGAAACGGGTGTAAAATTGTCCAACTTCATTGGTATCTCCGTAGGGGTCGGGCTGGCCTCTGGCTCTGGATTCTGCTCAGGAGTCGAGGCAGTGGTTGGCTCTGGCATTGGAGTGGCTTTTACTGCTGGGAGCAATCCCATCTGGAGCAGGATCCAGTCGTGGAATTGCTGGGTGGAGGTGAAGATCCCAGGTCTTTTGTCCCCAGCACAGCCTTTTCCCCAGCTGGTCACTCCCACCAGCCAGAAGTGGTCGGCTCTGTGGTCCTTGCAGACGAGGGGACCCCCACTGTCCCCCTGTGGGAGGAGAGAGGGCTCAGGGTTTGTCTGGGGCTGCTGCAGCAGCAGGGCTGGCTCCTCTCTCCCAGCCCCTGCCAGAGCCACGTTCCCAGCACGGGAAGGCTCTGCTTGGGGGCTGGAGCCTCCAGAGCCTCAGCTGGGAGCAGGTTGGGGGCTGTCCCATCTCTGCCCAGGGGTCCCAGATGTGCAGAGGATGAATGATCCAGGGTCACATCTGCAGCTCGGGGCTGCCAGGAGCACTGGATGGGCTTTGGGGGCAGAGCCAGGCATTGGGGACACGGGGACCCATGGATGGGGCAGCCCTGGGATAGGGGACATGGGACAGGACAGCCCTGGGATGGGGGATATGGGACAGGGCAGCCCTGGGATGGGGGATATGGGACAGGGCAGCCCTGGGATAGGGGACATGGGACAGGACAGCCCTGGGATATGGGGACATGGGACAGGGCAGCCCTGGGATGGGGGACATGGGACAGGACAGCCCTGTCAGGGGTGGGGCCCTGGGGCTGGGAGGGTGCCAGGCCAGGCCCAGCCCGTGCCATGTTTGGGGCAGGGGGTCCCTGTGCTGCCGGGGCTGAGGGGCTGGTGCCACGCTCCCACCTGGCAGGTGTCGATGCCGCCCCGCGGGTACCCAGCGCACAGGTCGTGGGGGTGCACGGCCCCCGCGTACCACCGGCTGCTGTTGCACAGCTGCACATCGATGAGCCGCACCTTGGCCTCCTGCAGCACCAGGCGTGGTCTGAGAGCTGCAGCACAGAGGGCAATGAGCCCCCGGAGCTCGGTGCCCCCTGCCCTGGGCTGTCTGGGGGCAGCCTTGGAGCAGCCTCGTCCCGCTGTGTCCCTGCTGTTGGCTCTGGGCAGGGGGCCAGGCCCCTCTGCCGGGGCTCACGTCCTGCAGCCTGACCCTGGCTCTGTTCTCTGCTCTTGGGAAGCTCAGTCTGTGTGCCCAAGCTCAGGCTCAGGGCCTGTGTCCTGTTTGGGAACTCACCACTGTCCAGGGTGGTTCTCCAGCCCGCGATGTAGCAGGTTTTCAGGTGTGACGTGCTCAGGGGGGTGTTGGGCACACAGCCCAGCTGGATGTAGTCACTGCACTCCACAGGCTCATCCAGCTCCAGCAGGGCAATGTTGTTCCTTGCCAAGGCAGGGGCGTAGTGCTGGTGCACCAGGAGCCTCTGGATGTGCCGCAGCTCAGCTGCAGGGCCCAGCTCCGTCAGATCAGTGGCCCCGATCACCACCTCCCATTTGGAGACATCTCTAGGAGGCAGATGGAGGCAGAGGGAGGCAGGGGGCTGAGAGGGAGCAGATCCACAGGCTGGGGCAGCCCAGCATTTCCCTTCACAGACTGGGCATCTGCCCGAGCTGTGGGGACATCGCTGTCCCTGCTGCTCCTTACCCGGCCCCAAAGAAGCAGTGGGCGACCGTGAGGACCCACTTGGGGTGGATGAGGGCCCCTGCACACATGTGCCACGTGCCGTTCTGCCAGGTGGCCTGGATGCTGGCGATGCCGGGCCAGGCCCCCGGCTGGACCCCGGAGCCCCCCACGATGCGGGAGGTGCCGTCGGCCAAGGCCGCGGGGCCGTAGTCGGGCAGCAGGGAGTTGTGGTCGGAAGCCATGGGCCGGAGCCCGCAGGTCCCTCTGCAAGCACAAACCATCCCTGCCCTGCTCAGGGGCTGCTCAGGATGAAGGTCCCCCATTGTCCCCCCCACAGTGCCCCGAGGGGCAGCAGGGCCAGGGCCCCCCCAGGGCACGTCTGTGCCCCCGCTGTGCTGGGAACCCCCCGAGTGTTCCCGAGCTCCCCCCACACCCCTAAATGGGGCCACTGACCCGCAGGTGTCCCAGGTGCCACCCACGGGCCCGGCCAGGGCCAGCAGGACCAGGAGCCACAGCCAAGCCATCGGTGGCAGCGCACGGGGCAGTGCCAGGAGCGAGGGGTCACCTCCAGCGTTGTGCCCACAGCACCCACAGTGCCCCTGGCCCAGGGCTGATGTCACAGAGGGGTTGGTTCCACGTGCTGGACACGGTGGCCTCGGGATGGGGGAGAGGGGCAGCATCGAGTCATAGAACCATGGAATGGTTTGGGCTGGAAACAACCTCAGTGACCACCCAGTGCCACCCCTGCCATGGCAGGGACGTCTTCCACCAGACCAGGTGGCTCCAAGCCCTGTCCAGCCTGGCCTTGCAGACTTCTGGGGGGATGAGTGTTCCCAGGAGAGGGACCAGAGTGCCAGCAGCACATGCAGCCACAGCCTGGCCTGCAGGGTCAGGCACATGGACCTGTGAGCAGCAGGGATGTGGGATCACAACAGGCAGGTGCAGGCATGGAGGGGCTGCCAGCAGGGACTGAAGCACAGGGGACAGTCTGTCCCCCTTCCAAGAGAAGGGTCAGAGTCACTGCTGCTCCCTGACGTGGGGACAGCAGGTCCCAGAGCAAGGATCTGCCATCCCCTGGGAGGAGGAACAGCCAGGGATTGCCCACAGAGGAGGGCCTTGGTGTTCCTGGGCTGGGGGTGGTTCTGGGCAGGCATCCCGCAGCTCCCAGGTGGCAGATGGATCTGGGATGTCCCTCTGCAGCCCAGTACCACCCCTCACATGCCAGCTGGAGCTCTCTCCGATCCTGTTCCTGACATTATTTTCCACAGGCCATGTCTGGTTCTCTCCATCTGCAGGCTCAGGCTGGGTGCCAGGGGGTGGAAAGAGGAGGCTGCTGCTTGGGCATGTGAGACACCAGAGTTGGAGAGTGGCTGGAAGAGAGGGCTGGCAAGTGGAGAATTGTCACAGAATCACAGGTGGCTGAGGTTTGAGGTCCAATTCCTGCTCAAACAGTGTCAGCTACAGCAGCTTGCCCAGGAGCACAACCAGTTGCATTTCAAATATCTCCAAGGAAGGAGACTCCACAACCTCCCTGGGCAGCCTGTGCCCGTGCTCAGTCCTCCTCACAGGAACTAAAGTGTTTCCCTGTGTTCAGGTCGTATTTCTTTTTTTGTTTGTTTGTGGTTTTGTTTGTTTGTTTGGGTTTGTTTGTTTTGTTTTGTTTGTTTGTTTTAAAATTTGTGCCCATTGCGTCTTGTCCTGTCACTGGACAGCAAGAACCTATTTCCCTCTTCTCCCTCCCATCCTGATCCCAGTACCCACTGACAAGATCCCTCTGAGCCTCTTCTTCAGCCCCAGCTCACTCATCCTCTCCTCACAAGAGGGATGCTCCAGTCACCAACCACCAGAACCACGCTTTGGTGGACTCTCTCCAGCATATCCACGTCTTCCAGGTTCAGGGGAGCCCAGAACTGGACACAGCACTGCCAGTGTGGTCTCACCTTCCTCCTGGCAACCTCCAGCACAGCCCAGGGTGCTGCTGGCTATGGTTTGTGCCACGGGCTTGGTGTCAGCCAGAACTCCCTTCTTGGCAGAGCTGCTTTCTCCCGGTGCTGGGAGGTTATTCCTCCCCAGGACTTGGCATTCCTCGCGTTGAATTTCATGAGGTCGCGGCTCCGTTCTCTGCTCTAGATGGCAGCAAATCCATCTGCTGGGTGCGTCCCTCCTCCCGCTTTTGAGTCACGGAAACCTGGAATCACAGAATATCCTCAGTTGGAAGAGACCCACAGGGATCGCCCAGTCCAACCCCTGGCCCTGCACAGACACCCCAACAATCCCCCTCTGTCCCTCAGAGGATCATCCCAACCCTCCTGGAGCTCTGGCAGCCTTGGGGCTGTGCCCACTGCCCTGGGGAGCCTGTTCAGTGCCAACCACCCTCTGGGGGAAGGACCTTGTGCTGAGATCCAACCTGAGCCTGCCCTGGTACAGCTCCAGCCCTTCCCTGGGTCCTGTCCTGCTCACCAGGAACAAGAGATCAGTGCCTGCCATTCCACTTCCCTTCACTTCCCAGGAAGTTGCAGACTGACCCTGCAGACTTGCTGAGGGTGAGCTCTGCCACATCATCTGAGTTATTAATGAGGATGTTGAACAATGTTGGCCCCAGTTGGACCCCTGGGCTTCCCCACTGGTGACTGGCCCCCACCAGGGCTCCATACCACTGGTCACAACCCCCCAGATCCAACCATTCAGCAAATGTTCAGTCCACCTCCCCTCATCCTGCCTATGAGGGTGCTTGAGAACAGTCTGAAAAGCATTAATAAAACCGAGCTAAACAGCATCCCCTGCTCCCTCCTCATCCACCAGCCACTCCTCCCATCCTGCCAGGCTGGCTAAGCACAACTGCCCCTTACAAACCCAAGCTGCCCCAACACCTGGCACCTGCCCCTGCCATCCACACCCGTTTTTGTTTGAGCCACAGAGCTCCTGGGAACACGGGTGCAAGACATTCCTGGGGATCCAGGGAGCAGCAGGAAGCTCTGGAGCATCCCTGGGCTCTCCCTTCCCAGCACAGCTCCCTGCCCAGGCTGGACCTGCCTCCTCCCACCGCAGCTTCCTGGGTGGGCGCTGCCGAATCCCAAGGGATTTGGAATCGTTAAGGTTGGAAAAGACCTCCAAGATCACCCAGCCCAAGCTCAGAAAGTGGAGCTGTGGCAGAGCGCAGGCACGGGCTGGATATTGACTCTGGCAGGAATAATTTGTGACTGGGCTTTAAATAAAGCAGCTTTTCTGTCATGCAGGAAGATCCTTTCCCTGCAGAGGAGACAGGGAGTGCAGCTGGAGCAGAGCCTGTGTGGCTGTCAGTGTGCTGAGGGCAGAGCAAGGTGGGGTGGGGAGAGAGGAAAGCTCAGAGAGTGCCCCGGATTCCTGTGCCCCGGATTCCTGTGCCACCCTGGGCCTCCCTTCCTGCCCCAAGGGAAAGGCTGTGGCCCTGCAGAGCTCCAGCTACATCCTCATCACTCTGAGCTGCTCCTCCACACCCTCCTGCCTCCCAGAGCTCGTCTCTGCCCCACCTCTGGCAGCTGGGAGGTGACACTGCAGAGGATGGAGCAGACACATCTCCAGCAGGGAGACCTCAGGTGGGCTGGGGAGCTTTGGGCAGCTCAGCACAAAGGAGAAGGAGCTCAGCCAGTCACCAGATCCCCCCACTCTCCTCAATCCATATTTAATGGCTCTTTGGGTCTCAATGTTTAAATCTATCTAATGATCATTTAACTGCTGCTCAATAATTAATGCCTCGGTGTTCAGAGCAATAATCCCACGGATCACAGGGAGTGCTGGTCCATCACCCTGGGCATGGGCAGGGCCAGGGAGCCCAGGGGAGCTGCTCTGTGACCCCCTTCCCATGGATGGACAGGTTATCCACGTTATCCCTGCACCCTGAGCTCTTTGTGAGCAATGCCATGAGCCTGGGAGCACTGGGAGATGAGCTGTGGGTGGCAGGGATGGGCCACAGGAAGGGAAGGGTTTGAATATCTCCATGCCTGGAGAAAAGGAGGCTCAGGGGGACCTTCTGGCTCTGCAAGTCCCTGCCAGGAGGGGGGAGCTGGGGAGGGTCAGGCTCTGCTCCCAGGGAACAGATCGTCGAGTCCAGCCTTTGACCGAACACCACCAGGTCAACTAAACCACAGCACTAAATGCCACCATGTCCAGGGAAGGTGCCACCTCACCCAGGGAAGGTGCCACGACGTCCAGGGAAGGTGCCATGACGTCCAGGGAAGGTGTCTGCTCTGCTCTGGAAGCCCCAGAGCTGCAGAGCTGTGCCCTGAGCTGGGCACTGCCACACTGAGCCAATCCTGCTGTGCCTCTGTGCCCATGTGGAATCACCCCCTGCAGCCAAACTGTGCTCAGCCTTCCCTGTTTGGGCTCCCTCCCCGCCCCACTCACCTGCTCTTCCCAAAATTACCGTCTCTATCCCTGTCCCCACCCCAAGACCCATCCCTTGTCCCCATTCCCACTCCCATCCCCATTCCTGCCCCCATCCTGATCACTGTTCCCATCCCTGTCACCAGCACGGTCCCCAGATCTTCCCCACCCCTGTCCCTCCCTGTCCCCATCCTGGCACCTCCCTCCCTCCCTTTCTCTGGTTACTCCTGCAGGTCTGTGCGACTGAATTCCAGGGCTTTTTGAGGGAGAGACATACCTGATTAATGCCAGAGTGAGCTGTAATCACATGGCAATAACGGCACGACTCGTGCTTATCTGAATGTGTAATCACGGCAATGAATAACATTCCGGGCTCTGCACCTCGCTAATGAGCAGCTGCCGGGTGGGGAGAGGCTGCTGTCAGCTCCCAGCAGCACATCCCATCCCTCTGCAGGGCCGGGATCTGCCGCGGGGAGGGAAAACGACCTCACTCAGCCTGTCAGGACACGAGTGGAGTTACCAACTGGCCCTGCTTTTCCCCCAGCCCGGTGGAGACTCCGGTACCCCGATCCAGGGTCCCCCGTGATGACAGGGACACAGTGCCCTGCGTGCTCGTGACAGGGCACCATTCCCTGATCCAGGGTCCCTGTGATGGCTGTGGGACAGCCAGTCCCTTACCTGGGCCATCAGCAGGTCCCTTACCTGGCCCAGCCACCACAACCCCTGTGTGACCCAACCCAGAGACGTCAGCCAGGCCTTGCTGAGCAGGGCAAGGCTGAAGTGAGCAAGTGTCACACACCAGAGGGACCGTGGAGAGGACACACCGTCCCACCTGTGTGTCCTGCCTGTGTGTGTGCACAGCCCACGGGGAGCACCATCCCCCGGGGCTGAGTCCTGCATGTGAGGCCCTGGCACAGGTTTGCCCTGAGAAGCTGTGGCTGCCCCATCCCTGGAAGTGAAGGCCAGGCTGGACAGGGCTTGGAGCAACCTGGGCTAGTGGAAGGTGTCCCTGCCCATGGCAGGGAGTGGAACAAGATGACCTGTAAGGTCCCTTCCCACCCAAACCATTCCATGATTCTGAGGGTTGTGGAAGGGGTGGCTTTTCCTCACCCTCTGAGGTGACAGCCTGGGACAGTGGGGCCTGTGGCCACAGCAGGGCAGAGACTGGCAGAGACACGGCCAGGCTGGGACAAGACATCCTTGCAGGCAGAGAGGCAGCCTCTGGAAATGTGCAGTGTCACCAAATTAAGGACTTAATTAGCGGGCGT